CCCCCCCCCCCCCCCCCCCCCCCAATTAATGAGCTCATGAAAGTTCCTCATAACACATTAATACAAAAAAATCAGACTTATTACTTATTTTTTTCTATGTTGTTATATTGCAAATAATTAAACCTAGTAAAAAGCTCATTCCAATGCACCCCAAACAGTTCTGTTAATATTAACTTTTTTTCATTCTCTTTCAGTTTTAAGTTGGTTTTGAGTCTTTAGATCTTAAGTTATAATAATATCTGATCTAAAAAGTAAATATCCATAATCAATTTAGACCAAATTCAAATATAATGCACACTTTTATACATATAAATTTCATGAGCATACCACAAGATACAAACTTTTGTTCAAAGTTTGGCATCAAAGAAGCTATCTGGGAACAGGCGGAAAATCCAACTCTGAACAAGGAGGCCTCGGGGTTTTACCTCTCACATATATGGGATGAGGCACTGGAGACTATTCCTAGCCGTATGACAATAGATAGCTGACCAGTCCATCCAGGCTATTTACCTAGTGAAAGGTCTCTGGTTGAGCCGGCAACTTCAGTTCCAATATCAAAGTTATTTGTATTTATCATTCTTATTCTACTGGATGACTAACAACATTCACTCTACCTTTATCTATTGACTTATTTATTTATTCAGGGTAAAAAACATGGTAAATTTAAAATGTATCTTCCCACTGGCCCTTAGAAATCTATTTTAACACATCATAGGCTAAAGTTGCATACATCTTGTCCTAAGAGTATATTATATTGGGAGTTTGAGGTGATGAGGCTGATCCAAAATTCAAATAAATTGCAGTTTATTTAACAGATAGAAATTTCACCCCGAGTTTGCACATCAAAGTGGCTAAAATATAAATAAGACTTTTTTTCATTTCACAACCACGCATACTTCCAATGTAGAAGTAGTATGTCTTAAATACCCATATTGCACGCAATGTGAGGCATCTTTACTTTAGAGTCTGTACTGTTTGCCAGAGAGGTCATCTCACCACCCTCAATCTTATGTCCAATCTTCTCACTGTCTGCATTTTGTGGAGAAAATACAGGCATATTTTCACTACATAGCTTCTCAGTATTAGACTGGGTGTTAGACTTCTCAGTGTTTGTTACCTCAGAAGGGAATTTAATAAACCCATGTTTATCATCGTCTTCTGCAGTAATATCATTATGCACGTTGGCATTGTCAGTCATTTTGGCAGTTACAGCAATCATATTCTTATCAGCACTAGCAACCTTGGACCTATCCACTGGAGCTTTGGTGGTGTTAAAAACTTCTTCATCTCTAAGAGCATTTTCTGCTACATTAGCATTTGCAAAAATGGTGTTTTTAACATCCTCAGGTACCTCTCCTCCACCCTTAAGATCATCAGTAACAGTATCACAGGGTACATCACAGCGTGTTGCTGCCTTCACAGCACTTTGCTTATTGTCTGATTTGTTTTCCTTTATATAACTAACATATACTTTCTGCTCCCTCAATCCTCCCACTGCTGGGTTACCATCACAAGACTCATTACTATTGTTCCGGGACTGGTTTGCTTGTTCCACTGCCTCCAGTCTCAGTGCTTTCATGAAGGCACGTGGATCTTTTCCTCTCAGGGTGGGGCAATTACATGAAGTTCGGAGTTCGAGAGCCTGAAAAGTATTGGCTTTTAGCATTAAAACAAGTACTGGCTTTTTATCTCTGTTTTATATTCCTGCTTGCTATATATATCTCTCTATGGATTGTTATATATTTATATATATACATATAAAATGATACACATAATATACGTGCAAAAAGTGGTGACCAAAACGATAAGTGTTTGTGTGCACATGTATGTGTCACAGACCACCTAAAACATTAAATTCTGAGTATATAAACCATCTTGTGGTACCATAATCCCAATATCAAAGTCAATGTTAGTATGGTGACAAACCTGTGGAACCAAATCATCTAGTTTGTCCGCACGTTCATCACTCCTGGGATGTGTGGAGAGAATATCCATAACATTCCCTGTCTCCAAATCCTTCATGTGCATCATGTTCCAGAATACACTGCTTTCTCTGACATCAAAACAGGCCTAAATAAATAATTAAAGTTTTTAATCATAATATTATTCTGTTGAACATTAAAGAAAAATGATCTATACTGTCATGTGTCTTTTCAGTTTCCATTGTTGTTTCACAAGTTATATTATACAAAATCAGTGAATATGCTTCTAGATAATGCTAATATGCATCACATGATACAACTGTAAATCAAAAATCTATGACAACTACCTTAGCAGCCAGCTGCAAACCTTTATTGTCTGCCTCAAACTCTAGTTTCCTGCTGTAAGGCATATGAAACATGGCCTACAAAAAACAACAAAAATGCTGTGGCATATTTGCATTAAAAGTTTTCATGTATAGAGAGTTATAATTACAAACAAGGTAACAAAAAATTCAAGAATAAAGTAGGAAGTTGATGTGAAAATTATGAAGAGTGTACTTATTTGTTTTTCATTCATTTACACCAAACTGCACTGTGTTAAAATGGAAAACACATTTAGGTAACATAATAAGATGATCAAATATGGATCAAAGCAAACAAAAGCTAAATAAGTGCACAGTCTGCTTATGTCAATCACATTTGAATACTCACATTCTGAATGTTTTATGTTTAACAGCATGGAATTCTTACCTCAGTGGCTTTATCAAAGAAATACTGGGTGACAAAAGCCACTTGAAATGGGCCAATAAATAACCAGCAGAAAACCAGAAAACACAAGGTGATAATTTCCCAAAATGCATGTTGGTTCAACTTCAGACTCTACAATTGAAAGTTACTTTTATATAGAAAAAATAACTCAAGGCTGAAAAATCAAATCAAACATATTTCCTTTTATATACAGAAAATAACTCAAGGTTGAAAAATCAAATCAAACATTTTTTACCTATATATTAGCATATATCCAACAGTTTAAATAATGATCAAAGTAACAAAGAGAATTTTTCTAACAATCAAAGAGGCAACAGATCTGTTGATATACCACTCTACTCACCCCATGCCCCAACACACAGTGAGCCAGCTCATGTGCAAGAACTACAGCCAGTTGATCAATATTGTGTGCAGACTTCAGCAGACCAGTAAAGACATAAATATCACCATTCTGGAAAAATAAATATTTGCATTTTCATGTTGCAGGTAAGAATGAAATTCAAGCAGATTTTTAATCTTTAATCTTAGTCTTAAGTTGCAGGCAGACTATTAATAGAAAAATCACATCCTTAAAAAGCAAAGAAGAACTAGCAAAGCCAACCAGAGCACATTTCAGTTATGCAAACTAAAGAATAAACTTTCTGAAAAGTTGCTGGGCTGGCGGTTGTTCAATTTTTTTGTACCTCCTTTTGAACATTGTTTAACACTCCTTAAAATTTTTATTTCCAATGTCACCTATTCAAGGCATGAACACACTGGAGTAGAGAGAAAATGTAAGGATCTGTGTAATTACATGTGCCTCTGTATGATAATGGCAGTCTCAACCTGTCAATAACAGTGGTTACACTTACAGGCAAAACAAAAGCATTAATATTCTCATCGTCATCAACGACAGCTATCCTCCACTTATGTAATCCCTGCAATTCTTCATTCCCATTCAAAAGAGTAAGAACAGTCTGCCTTACCACCTGTGTGTATGGGTGGTCTTGTGGAAGAATCTGATCTCCGAGCCTTAATTGTTCCTTAAAAATTAGTAGCAAGTGTTAAATTTAAAAAGAGGTATTGTGTTTACCAACAAAACTAATCGGTTTATTTAGACATTTTCTACAGTGCGTAATCGGTTTATTTAGACATTTTCTACAGTGCAAGTGGTTCTGAAGGTAAATGGTGTAAAGTTCCAAATGAAATCCTAATCTACAAAATTATCTTATCTCAAAGGGTGCAGTACCAAAGAAAGGGGCTGGGTCAAAGGCCAATCTAAACTTACCCTATAGGATTCTTCTTTTGCAATTTCCATGAGCTGTGTATCAGTCAACAGCTTGACAGTCCACTCGCCTGTGCTGGGATCTACTTTGACATGATACCACATGAATGTAGTACCCAAAAATAGAATGAAGATGAGCAATCCACATAAAACCTTTTTGGTCCCTTGGTCCAATTTTACCCAGACTTTCCTTGAAAGCCTACAAAAACAACAGAGGTTAAAAGACACAAAATAACCGAATTTAACTACCTAAGCAAATTAGGTGAAATTTTCTCACCTTCCTACTACAACAAACATTTTGCTAGTCTACTGGTTCTACAAAACATCCATAAAAACACAGGCACTCTTTACAAAAGTTACATTAAAGGGATAATAACTCTTCATTTTGGCCAAATAATGAATTTTCCTGGAGTAAATAATAATTTTCCCATACTTTCCAATGGTTAATGAATCCATTTTTACATTCAAAGTTCCTGTTTTTTTTTCTAAAAAGTTTGTTTGTTATAATCTCTTAAGAGATTATAACAGGGTATAGCCATCATTGGAGGTCATATGGTATAAAGACAAGCTCAGATATCAGAATAAAAGCTATAACTGCCGTTTTTGTGGTAAAACAGAATACATTATATTTCTACGAGTTGTTCACAATGTATTTATTGTGAAATATAGATCTCATACGAAGAGTTATTATCCCTTTAAATAGAAACAATATAAAAGGATTACCATCCCAAAAAGTGGCCTACAACCCGCACAATGATTTTAACAATAGCCAGTTGAGGTGCATGCATGGGTCTTGTGGTATGAAACCCCCTGCTCTGTCTGCAAAACAGCGAAGATCTGAAGCTATTTTGTACTTTCAATCTGATATTACACTCCAATATCTTTCTCCCAAAACTGAGTCCACTTTGCTTATTGTTGGCAAACAGGCTTAATGTCATTTTCTGTACAGGAGATCCACATTGCATGTGGGGAGCCAACAGCATCTTGGATGGGCAGATCATGATGTCTGATAGCCTGTTACTTGCCTTCCTTGGCATTCCTGAATTCAAAATCAGTCTTGCTGTAGTCATCTTCCCCAGATTAGACATTTTACAACATATATATTACAATTCAATCACCCAATATCAAACAACAGATAGTCAGTACAACAAACATCCGATGGTATCCTCCAATAAGGGTCATGGTGACACCAACACGAAGTCCGTATCGAAGCAAATCATAGGCTGCTTGTGCAGTTCTAGGACTGAAGAAAAGGGTGATGAAACGAAGGTAAAATGCAGGCCTTTGACTCTTGCTTCCCTGATGATGATCAATGGAGATGACTGTACTTGTTGATAATGGTCGAGACATGAGTACAAGTACTTCTTCTTTGTCGGAGTTGGTGAAACTCTCGTGATGAAGCCTATGGGAAGATATTAACATTACAGTATTTAATTTGTAAGCATTTGAAAATTGCTTAAAAAGTAACGAAGCAACAAAAATGTCTTACAGTGTACTAAAAATTTAATTTAAAACTCAATTCTCAACTTCAAACACCTAGTTCTTGTCTAAAAGTGTAAAAACACCTTCCCACTGCTCCATAGTATTTACAAGCAGCTGCAAATACATATGGAGCAAAGGTAAATTGCACCATGATGGCAGTTACTTTGTAACTTGGGGTTACACTGATCTTCTAGAGCAATCCTGCACATGTTCTTTTTATCTTAAATTCTAGTAGCAGTGGCGGTTTTAGAGGGGCAGGTCAGGAGGGTCCTGACCCCCCCCCCCCCCCTGGATTTCTGGTCCCCTCTTGAAATTAGAATTTTGACTAGCTAAAAGAAAGTTCTAAACCATACCAAATGCCCTCTAAAATACCAAATTTTTCGGGGCCCGCACGCCAAGTGGTGAAGGGGGGGGGGGTCTGCATCGCATCCGCGGACCCCCCTTTCAAATAATCCTGGATCCGCACCTGTAGTAGTAGTATGTACCAGAAATGATATACCATTTTCTCCTTTCAAAGCTTGACGGAGTTCTCTACAGCGAGTTGAAACTGGTGCAAGTGCAGCAATGATACAGTACGTGTCTATACTATACCACTATCCGAACAGTATCGTTCGTGATCTGCACTGTTTATCCAGTCCGTAACAAGACTGCGGTAAGGGTACCGTGAGCTTGTAAGGCCGAAAACTAAGGCAAGTAACAAGACCGTGATGCAACTTCATACTCCCATTGCGTGTCACGTAGGCCGTCCAGCCGGCAGTCAGGTCCGTCTTGAATTGATCGGTTGAATATGAAAATCGCTCAAATGATTATTGCATTGCCTAATATATATATATTGATTACTTACTTTAACCCAAACTTGATTGCTGAGACCAAACACAACTACCAGTCGTGGACAACGAATGAAACGGAGGCTTTTCTCATCCTCCAAACAGGGGCCTCGTTTTAAATCTTCTTTTAGACAGTTTCAAGAGACATTTAAAATGAGGCGAATGTATGGAGCGTGCGGTAAAATACAAATTTCTTTTTTTACAAGTACATGCCCATGTACTGTAAAAATCAGTTCCAGTGGCGGATTCAGGAGGGGGGGGGGGGTCATGTGGGTCCTGACTCCCCTCCCTTCGATTTCTGAAAAAAATCACACCAATAGTCCCCTCTAAAAATAAAAATTTTGCTGAATCACAATTAGCTGAATCACACGTTCAAACCGTAGGCCTACCCTAATGGCACCGTTCAGCGGGCCCCTAACTCCACGCCAAGGGAGGGGGGGGGGGGGCTTTGCATCCGCGGCCTGTCATTCCAAAAAACCCACAAACCTTTGCGCGCAACGCTGTTTGAAATAAACAAGTTGGTGAAATTGACAAAGCTTGCCGGTGCCTATTACCGTCTGATTGATTTTTTTAANCTAAGAGCGCATTCTCAACGAATTAAGCCAGGCTTTACAAAGCCGGTGACCTAAAAATGGCGGACGTACATGAAAGAAAAACCGCCTAATCTTTTAATAGTCTCTCCGCCTCCCCACACGTCGTCCCTGCGGGGTACAGTAATTAAATCTCGGCTCCGTTCGCCATGCGGAAGCTACCTGAGAAATATTAAGTGCGCATGCTCATCAGTTAAACTCGTGGTGAAGAAGGCATGGCGGCTGAAGGCGATCGAAGGAAAAAAGCTCTTCTGTTCTATTATCTTTGAAAACAGAGACGAAAAAGGAATAATTTGGCCCGTAGAGCAGCAATGAATCGACTATCTAAGGAGAGAATATCACCAGAGATATACACGGAAATATTAATGTTCGGAGCCGAGATTTAATTACTGTACCTCGCAGGGACGACGTGTGGGGAGGCGTGTGAGAGGCGGAGAGACTATTAAAAGATTAGGCGGTTTTTCTTTCATGTACGTCCGCCATTTTTAGGTCACCGGCTTTGTAAAGCCTGGCTTAATTCGTTGAGAATGCGCTCTTAGCTGGCTCTACAAGGCCAAAAGTGTCTAACTGGGCCAACTAGCCCCGGACTCCCCTAACCTCGGAGGAAGAGTCGTATCATCTTTGTTAGGCCTATTATTGTCTTTTCTTCGTTTTATGTAGGGCCTACGAAAAAATTATATACATGTACATGTTGGGGGAAGTTTTGTTAACAAACAGACAAACGGAGGTCGGGAGGTGAAAACATGGGTAACGTTAACCACGTCATGATATGCAAGGAAAGGCAGTGGAAGGGTCGCACATTAACTACTTTAAATTAGGCCTACTATAAACTCCGTAAACTGATAAAAGGGCAAAACAAGGAGACTTTCAAACTTGAGTTTTTGGCCCCTTGAAAATGCCATACAAACTAGAATTTTGTCACCTAATAAGTAAAAGAGCTAGGCATGAATGCACATTTTACTAAAATTTTGATTCGCAGATTTCCCCACAGAAATCTATTTCCATGTTTTTTTTTCAAGCAGAGTAATATTGTGTTTGTGATTCTTGATACAAAAATTTTGAGCAGTAGGATTTGACCTTTTAATATCAGTGTAACATTGGTCGACTGCAGAACAAGGGGGGATAACAAAAAAAAAATCCTCCCAAAAAGTCTGACATGCTGTCTTTGTTCTAATACATAGCATATATTTTTAGAAATTTTCATGTTATAAGCTCTTCGGTCTAGTTTGACAGTAAACTATCAGCTCACATGGTAACCATTTTGAAAATTGTCAATTTACCGACCTAAATAATTGTTGTGGAAATATACGTTTGTCAGATTAGTGTTCGCCATCAAATGTCGCCTCAGAAAACACATGCTACAGAAAATTTTAAAGATTTACCATAACCTAAATAGAAACTTGAAATTTGCCACATAAGATGTAAATGAGCTTGGCATGGATACATATTTTGAGTTTTGATTCTAAGATTTTCCCAAGAAGAATGTTTGTGAAGTAAGCAATATGGTACATACAAGTTGATACAATGTATGCAGTGGAGTTTGACCTTGTAACATTGATTGAATAGGGAACAAGTTAGGGAGGTCACAACAACAACAACAACAAAAATGAAAATAATAATAATAATAATAATTCCCCAATTTTTTTCCAAAAAAATCTGAAATGCTGACCAGTGAAAAACTAAAGTCCTTGTTCTAATGCACTGCATATATTTGGTGTTGCCGTCCTTTGCCGACTTTTAATTTATAAAATTATAAAATGTATTAATTTTCAATTTATAGGTTTTTACTTGAAATTTTTCAAATTATAACTTCCTAAATAATCAAAGAGTTAGTTGTTGAATAATATATAGCCTCTCCTCGGCGTTACTGTATATTTTCACTCAGTTCTTGGTACGAGGAATCCTGTTCTGAAAGCTCACAGTTCTCCTGTTTAACTAGATGTTCGTACGACGAGACATTTGCATATTCCTTTGGCAAGGTCTGTCTGCGCTCAACAAGCCGTTCTTCGCACTGATTTGTCTCTTTGAAATGAATGTAAGAGTCTTTAATTACTGGTTTGGTTGGGAGATCTTTGCAGTCTCCGCCATGGGTAATAGTCTGAATAGTATCAACAATCTCTTCCACTTCAGTACTTTCTCTGTCAACCACATAGTCATACTTAAATAATTCACCTTGGTTAATTTGAACAGTACCAGTGACGGCAGTGTCACAAAATTGTTCCCCAGAAAACTGATTTATTTCGTCATACAATGGCCCTTGTGAATTAAGCACAGTATCATCGTATTCAACGGCTGCCAATTGTAATGGTTCTAAGTATATGTGAGCGTCTGAGATCTCTTCATATGATGATAAGTGATATTCGTTAGAATAAAGGACTTGACCTGCAGTGGCATTCACATTGCTCTGCTGTTCCAAACCCTTGTGGATGTTGTCCATTTCTTGTTGTATTAGCTGAATACCTCGACGTCTACGCTCATAGCGGATACGACGAAGTTTTGCCAAAATGGCCCTCTTTTGCTCATATTCTAACCTAGAGAAATGAAAAAAATATATAATCCATAAGTACTAATCTTTTCGAATAGCAAGTGGCAGGCTTCAAGATTTGGAGCTTTAAAATAGTCATAAAATAAACCCAATGAATATAGATATAGATGTTTCATCCTACCTTTTATTAACAAGCAATATGACGAATATTATAACTGTGTAGCCAACTGTGATCATCCCGCATCCAAGCAAAACTGAAGGCAGATGATAAACAATATTACATTACTTCATATACGTGTATATATTTGGCGACACAAATAAAAAAAGTCCATATCCTCTAGAAAAAATTATCATTACTCGACCCATTCTCAGAATTGGATTCAACTGTTTGTACTTAATCAATTTCTTATTAAAATTAGCATAGTTCTAAACTAGTCATGAATCATTTTTAACCGCCATGTCTTCCTGCCACTTCAAAAGGTATACGATTACAAGAGTTGAAAGAGATTATTAAAGTCTGTGATTTTGTCTAGCCATGTGCATGGGTATAACGTTGACACCTTTCCCTCTCACCTTCAAAGACACCGCGCGCATCCAAACTACTTGTAGCTGTTGGCTGAGCTGTTGATGTCCGAAGTGGCGTTGTGCCTGTTGACACAATGGTTGCAGTAGGCCTACTGGTGGTCTCATCGTGGAGGCTGATCTTGCGGGTCATAGTTGTATTGGGTCGCACTTGACATATATTTCTTTCAATTTTTGTTGGAAAAGCAGACTTTATGCCATTCACAGTCTCTGCAATAAACATGTATTTGCAACACAACAAAATAGTATGAGAGTTACGGAATTTTTCACAAGTAATATTAATTAATATCAGACCATTCTTATTTCAACTTATTTTTGACTTGCTCTTCACTTTGTCTTACCAGAGTAGAGCTGGCAGTCGAATGTTATGACTGTATGCTGGTAACCCTCTGCTTTCCATTCCATTAACCTGCATATTGTGTCATGTTGAGATGTTGTATTACAGCAGAGATTGATGGAACATTCTGTCAACCCAAGACACCCACCAGAGACTTGAGAACAGCAGAACGAATAGACATGGCGAATAGCAAGAAATCCGTCAGAACATTTTATCTGCACTTCGGAATGTGAAGCATCAAGTTTTACAAAACGTCCTGGAAAATAGCAGCCGCAAGCTTTTATATACAATAATAATAATGTACACTGTACAAGATGAGCCATTAGATTAGGCCTATAATGCTATATGTACATAGATGACCTATAAACTGTCAAACAGATACTTCAAGCTTTTAACACCCAAACACAATAAAGAGGTGCATTTCACATGCTGAAGTGTCAAAAAAATAAAATTGAATGAATTCAAAGTTGTATTCATTTTTTAAAAAACGAGTACGTGTATAAAACGAAAATCCACGACTGTCTCAATTTAAATTCAAATTTTAATTTTTACCATTACGCAAAGAAGCCCTAAATTGTAACGTATATTCCAGGTCATTACATTTTAATTTTTATACCGCGTTCCGATATATTTTGTAGTGATTCAGTCATGGTAAATTATACATAGCATAAGGATGTTTTTATAAATATTTAAACTGTAACTCAAGGGGCTTTGCGTCATGGCTATTACTACGTAACGTACAATGTATGTTCCCCAGAAAAAAGTGTCAAAAGTTTCATGAAAACAGTGTTTTCTGTTGCTAACCGAAAAATACATTGTGATTCCATGATAGTTTGCCGTTTCTGATAAAATATTTGGATCACGAGAGGGAAAATAATTCATTAAATGTCAGTAGGGTGTATTTTCCCCGTTTTTTAAATATTCAGTGACAAGCAAATTGAAGTCGCTCAAAAACAATAAACTGCTCTATACAGAAGATTATTATAATTTTTACAACGTTAGATCTATTCTTGTAGAAGATAAATTAAAAAACAAAACCAGTGAGGATTGAGTTTTCAAAGTGAGTAAAACGTTTCACAGTTGGAGGTTTTGCATTTATGACAGTAGCGTATGTTCCTTTATGGGGATAGACGATGAATTATGGTTCCAGGAGAGTGAAACTTTCATAAAAACTTCTTCTTGTGGAACCATAAAATNTTAGTTAAATAATGAGACTGTTAACATGCCTAATAATTGAATCTGAGGAAATGTGAAAAAACAGTATAACTTCTTAAGTAATGGCCCGATTATGCTTATTTTCGAACTCAACCTGCGTTTTAGTAAGATTGACCACTCCTGTGAGTATAATTACAATTGGCCAATGCAGTTTTTCTTATATTGTGTTATCAGTGTTGCATTTATATTGAAAAGAGTGAAAAAACAGCATAAATTACCTAAAAGTGACCCGATCATGCTGATTTTCGAACTTGACCTGCGTATTATGAATATTCATCAGTTCTGTAAGTTTTAAGTCAAAAGGTAAAATGGTTTTCCACTTATCGTGTTATCGGTGCTGCATATATGCTGAAAAAAGTGAAAAAACAGCATAAATTCCCTAAAAGTTACCCGATCATGCTGATTTTCGAACTTGACCTGCGTATTATGAATATTCATCAGTTCTGCAAGTTTCAAGTCAAAAGGTAAAATGGTTTTCCACTTATCGTGTTATCGGTAAAAGTGCACGGCGACGGCGACGACGGCGACGACAGCGACGGCGACGACAGACGCAGATGATGGCTATATGTACAGACACATCTGTGTCTGTACATAATAAAACATAGTTTACAATCTGTGCACTAAGAGCATGCCTGTGACCTCAATTGCATCTCTATTTTTGGTTTGGGCGTTAAGTGTCGTGGCAAAGCAACATCCATTAGAAAAGGCCTGACCACTGTCATGATGCTAGTGGAGGAGCTTTGTCATACCACAACATCAAGGTACACTCCATGAATTTTACCCGCCAAAATTTTCTTTCCCAGTATATTTATCTATCCCTGTTTGCACTTGGATTGGACCTTTGATAGAATTTATAAAGGTTGATTTTAGCTTAAAATGACTGGCCAATCATTATAACAGCGACCATCTTCTTATAAGCGCCAATGAAAATATCAACATCATATACGCCCCAGAAAAAATATTTAAGGATGTCACCCTCCGCCCAAAACTTCTTATTTACTGCCTTTACATACATTCACATTCTTTTGGGTAAAAGCTAAATCTTCAGTGTTCAGTGACTCAATTAACATTTACACATGTCATCTCACGGGTGACGTCATAATTGCAAATTTGGGGTAAAAACTGAAAATCGGTTTCTCAAATTTCTCCTTTAGCTTAGCACCCACGATCACCATTTTAAGGCCGATTTAATGACACCATTTAGTACTCAAAAACCCTGCCAGCAATTTTTCTTAGAAATCTTAGTTAAAATTTTATCATTGATAAAGCAATATACCGCTTTTGTTTTATGAAAATCTGTAATTAGGGGCTGATAACCCCATAACAAAAACATTTAAACCAAAATGACGGTGCGAGATTGTAGCCCATACACTTCTGGTCAACTCTGCCAATTTTCGTGATAAAATCTTGTTCGGGATGAAGTTAAGCCTCATACCGATTGCTATCTCGCCTCAAATAGAAAGGTGTTAAATTGACGATTAAAGCTTTGGGTTACCTATGCTTATACATTGCAACGAGAAATATAAATGCCGATATTTTATATTTTCAAGAGTTTTTTATTGTTTTAAATCAGCACAAAGATAGATGCATTATTGAATAGTTAGATGCAGGAAAAACCTCATTTTTGATATCTGGATGATAATAAAGGGTTACAATATCCTTAAGGGGTTAAATAAATTTAAGGTGTACAGAGGGGTGACAAAAGTATTGCACCATTTTTCTTTAAGGGGAACAACAGCTGGATTTGGTAGTTTTTTCAGTTGTTATTTTATTGAAAACTGATAGCGCCAAGTGAGTATCTTTATTTTAGATTTACAGAACAGTGCATTGCCCTTACATAACACATGCTATTACATCAGAATTAATATTTTGTAGGATAGTCACGTGTTCTCAATATGGCCACAGTCCTTCTAGGCATAGACTGATAAAGGTTCATTAATCTTCTGGGGGCTATGTTGGTCCAGGCTCTGAAGACACTTTGGCTTAGAGCGTTTCTGGTAAAGGGGCGATCCTTTGCCACTTGATTTCCAATATTTTGCCACAGGTTTTAATTTGGTTTGCGTCAGGTGATTGGGCAGGCCAGTCCACCCTGTTGATGCCATGCTGGTAAAGCCATTCTTGCACTTCCCTGGCCCTGTGTGGTGTAGCGTTATCATCTTGAAATATTAACGGATGGTTCCTGTCCCCAAAGGTGTTTTCTACCGATGCTAAAAGGTGCTGATCGAGAATGTCAGTGTATTGCTCGTGATTCAAGTTTCCATTTATCAGCACCAGCTCACCATTACCGTAGAAACCAATGCACCCCCAAACCATTATCGAAGTGGATCCGGACTGTCTAGTGAGGAAATGCATATTCTCTGGCAAATGACAAGTGGATGATGTTCTCCATACCCTCACTTGTCCACCCACGTTGTTAACTGCGAATATGGACTCGTCAGAATAAACAAAATGGCGCCAGTTCTGACCCACTGTCCAGGCAATGGTTCTTGCAGCCCTGTTTACCAAGGTGATGAGTGGCTTCCTCCTGGCAACCCTGCCGTGAATACCTGAAGCATGGGGCCTTCTTTGTACAGTTCTTTGCTAGCTTCAACCTACAAACTGCGCGACCATATCAACGCTAATTCCCTGCACAGCTCAGACCTCCTGATCCTTGACAGCATCAAAATGCGTCTCTGGCATTAATCTTCCTTGGGCGGCCACTTCGGTGTAACTTATGGGGATCACCAGTGTCCTCCATCTTCCTATACACAGTCTGACGAGATACACCATATTTGGCAGCTATCTGGGTAACATTGATACCCTGCTCCCTCAGAGAAACTATTTCATTTCTTTCTTCATTTGTGAGCTCCCGTACCTTCACCATGGTGGCAACGTGACAGTTAGAAGGATTAAGATTTTTTATTGATAAACACCTTCACATACAAGGTACAATCAATGACAGCACTAACTATAACAAAGCATAAACAAACAAATAAATACATAAACAAAGGTCCTTTTTAGCATTTTGGGGATTTTCAAACCCATCAATCATGGAGTGTACTGTGGTACCTTTAAGACGCAGCGAGTTCCACGGATCCATAATTTCGCTCCATGGGAGGTGGGGAGGGGTGGAGGGGAAGCCTTAAGAAAGAGAAATTTGCCAAACAAAGCAGACGCCTACAACTGAATGTAGGCGGTCATGATTCTGTAAAAAAGTAGAACGCACCTTCAACTGCATACATCATGACTGTCACGTAGAGTTTCATAAGACACAGCTGACTGGTAACTTCCATTGCAAAGCAGCCTTTGCCGTTATAAAGTCTTCCCTTCAAATATTACTTCCTGGTCTTACTCGTTGACTGTGTTTTTTCTGAATTAAGCTGCATGCTTAGCGTCAGCTACAAGTAATTTTTTAGTTGGAGAACAGTAGGGCCTACAGGGCCTGCGGTGCCCTAATATCTAGGCCATCTGAACGATAACGCATGATAACAAGGTATTTTTATTTGCTTCACTGGCGAATTCAATTAATGAACTGATGTCACAATGACATCAAAGAGATTATAAAGTTATTTCTTACTTGTAGGCCTATGCTCACGCTCGGCTGTCACCTTGATTGGATAGTAAACGATTGTCGTAAAATCGCTAAATGATATAAAAACCGGGTGCATAAACTTGAAAACCACCTAGGACAACCTTGGACTGCCACATTAATCCAATACAATGCAAAAATAAACTATAACAAGTGGTTAAAGCCTTCAAACCGAATGTCGTAAAGTCCTCATATACCTCAATAAAATAGCGTCAGCTTGTGAAACAAAAATCGACCAACTTAACATAATAATCGAAATAAAATACTGCCGGGCATCGGAGCGGCCTAAAACTTGGCACGCTTACCGCAAATACTGCAGGCTACATCATCCCGTCGCTCGTTTGTAAATTCCGTGCATGGCATACGCACAATCAAACCGTATATCCAAATTCCACCTCTGTTGTTTAAATTGGTCCTCTCTAACCTACCATTACGAAAAAGAAGCCATGCCATTGGACAATGCGACCTCTGCGGTTACGTCATTTCCTGAATTGGATTGTATATCGTTTTGGTCAGGAGCTAGGAGCTAACATCGATAAGGTTGATGTGGTGAAATCGAGGCTCTTGAGAGGAGAGTAACGTCTGAAAATATGACTAGTTCCGTAATAAGTACACATCTTTTTGCTATTTAGTTTAATTTGTTTTGTTTTTATTTCAATATATTATACAGCCATTCAACACCAAAACTAATTTTAAAGACTTTCATAGGTATAAAAATTAATTCAGAGAATAAATTAAGGATTAATCTAAAACACCAAATGCTTCTTAAAACTAGGAATCAGTCAACAAAATGGCAGAAGACGAGATCGAAGTGTTGCAGGCGATTTTCTGTGGTCCCGCTGAATTCGAAGTTTTTCATGCAAAGCAAGGTGGTGTTCAACACAAAACCACTTATTACATTTCCATTCAAATCATGTTACATTTGATACTTGACGTAGAGCATAGACGTAGAGAAAGCTTTCTCTTCTTCTATGACGTAGAAGTGAAATTTATTATGTTACTTGTAACTTTGATGGTTATATTTGTATTTAAAAGAGTAGATTTTTTACAACTTAAAAAGCAACCTATCTTACATTTAAAATAAGCATTTTTATTTTCACAAGTAGTGTTTATTTTTAAAAGACTGACTCAGTCTGAGTGTGATGGTCAGATCACAGTGCATTGGAATCATATGCCACTTCTATAACCCATCCAACTGTTCATATACATATTTTACATGGATTACACTATCCCTGGGGTGGAGGGGGTGATCTGAACTCTAAAGGTGAAGCCCAAAATTCAAACATTGATTTTAAAAGCTGTTGATTCCATAGCTGAGAAATATATTTGCACTTTCAAGTTCATGCATGTATGTGTTTTGCTAAGCACTGTTGGAGTCATTCTCAATGAAGACGTTGAGAGTAGAATGCCAGTTTCATTGGGAATGAGCTCTAGGAGTACAGTAGGAACCCTGGGGCTTTGAAATGTGCTGTAGGTGATTTTCTTCTCCTTTTTCTTTGCAATATACCTAAACTATGGAATGTTAAATAATGTTGACATAAATAAATGTGCAAATATATTACTATTATACTTTATTTTCAGATATTGGTAGTTCCTCTCTGTACACAATGAAAATAAAGATCAAGTCAGAAAGCAGTGACACCCAGTTGAAAAACACACAGACAGAGATAGTGCTTGATGCAATTTTTACAATGAAACCCACATATCCCAATAGTATCCCAGATATAAACTTGAAATCTGCCAACCTGAATCAAGAAGAAATAGAAAAATTAACATTTGATCTAGTCCAATTTGCTAATACTCTTGTTGGGGAAGTTATGGTCATGGAAATTGTGCAATGGTTACAGCAAAATGCAGTCAGGTACTCTTCAAGAGTATTCAAAACTGAAGAGAAACCGTATGAAGAACCTGAAGATCAGGATAATAAACCACAAAAATGTACTGCTAAGTTGGAGACATTGGTAGAAAATGTTACCAGTCCTGACACACAGCATTTATCTGCCAGAGCAAAGGACAATTGTGAAGACATTGGGAAGGAAATTATTGTTTTACAGTTAGACCATATGAGATCCAAGGCCAAGTATGTCAAAACAATATGCAAATGGACAGAACAATTGGGATTAGTAGGCAGGTTGATATTCCAAGGGAAGAATATCCTGATCATTTTAGAGGGTACAAGTGCAAATATTAGGGTATGTTTACTTAGTACATTTTAAATTAATTACTAAAGACTTTATTTAAATTCAAGTTTGTACATGTAATTATTAGTGTTGAAAAGTTGTTTCTAGATTTTACTTTGTTATAATTTTTTTCAGAAATATTTGGTTAATCACCGAACAGCAAATGTTGATATAGATTCTAAAGGAAAAAGTTGCAAGGAAAGAATGTTGTCAGTTTTATCGAGGAAAACAGTTGAGAATTTTAAGTAAGGAGCAGACAGCTTACTTGTAATTTGCACATTAATTCTCGTGCAAGAGGATAAAGTTCATGTGTTCCACTATTTTGGTTTCAAGAGAGAGTAAATAATATTGAGGTCTCTCACTTTCCTCCCACCGTCTCACCGAAACAACAAATTGTTACTTTTGAACTGGGTCTCCTTATGAACAACTTTAATTATGCATTTCTACATTATCACTGTGGGGTTATCCATTACATACACTTTGAGGTATTTTGCCTACGTACCTACCCAGTACCTACCTATCCTAAAATTTAGTGATACAGCTAAAATTAGTGTTCAGTTGTACTATAAACTGATGCATAATTCATTTTCTTTCAGTTTTTCAAATTTTCAAGTCCTAGAATTAAAGTCAGATATTGATGTTGCAGCAGTTTTTATGGAGATCAACTTGTCAGATGTTTATACAAGTTCTATTTTGTCCAGTTTGAAACACTAAGAGCAACCTTGAACCAGGTAAATTAATTATCAGCATTCACATAATACCTGAGTTTTTTGCCACAAAAATAAATAGATAAATAAATAAATAAATAAATAAATAAATAAATAAAATAAAATAACATAAAATGTTTCAGAAGGTAAAGTTTATACATCCAAGTGTGGTCACCTAAATTCTGTTTAAGTACAAGTGTCTGATTCCTTGATAAATTTACTCAGTATTGTGATTTGATTGCTTTTTGTAAAGATCTACCAAAAAGTAAACTTTTCTTTTATCAATTTTTCTATTGTAACTTATTATTAGCACTAATGTCTTATTCTTTTCCAGGTTAAAACTGCTGTGATTGCTCCACAGTTTGAATTGGTTTTGGTGAGATTGTTCACACCTATCACAATTTGTAAAAAAAAAAATGTATTGATTTGTTTACGGTTTTGTGGAGAACTTATTAATAGGCAAAAAAAAAAAATGAAAATGTGGTTAGATAACTATGAATTTATGGAATTACATTGGGGAGAAGTCTGAGAAACATGGCAGCGCTCGGAAGCTTGTTAATTCACATTAGGAAAGAAGCCCTTTGGAGCTCATATTATCATAAGAAAATGGCATATGGTGCAGTTGACATTTGTTGGTAAACTGAGAGGACTGGCATTTTAGATTAAGCCCCACAATGAAGATGTTTTCACATCAATGTCCTTCTCATTATCACTACCAGAATCTAATTACTGGGTCCTTGTCCTTTGCACATTCAGCCGCACTCAGGGTTTCAAAAATTATGGTGCTTTATTGTCAAACATGTCATTAACAGTGGTATAACTCCTGATGACAATACTAAAAAAGTATACATTGCACATAAATATATATTGTTAGCACTCCTATGCAGTATCAGGTTTAGGAGTATCCTGAAATTTGAGGCCAAGAGTAGGACTGCACATACAGATGCACATCATTCTCCAAGTTAGTTAGGTTACAAATAAAAACTTGCTCAGGGGCATAGTAAGGGGAATGAAGTCAGCAATTTATTTGGATATCTATAAATAGATTGTTATAGACAACATAATTCACTCACAAATGCAGAAACCAAAGCAGTAATGGGTTAACCTCGTGTGTTCAGTACTGATGTAAATTTTGCTTAACCAAGCAGAAAGGACGGTAAGGGTCCTTCATAATGAACATTGTCATGTCACTGTTGTATAGAAAAAACCCATTCAGGAATATTATATCAGCAATCTTAAAATGCACATTTAATCTAAGGTACATCTTAGTCATTTCTTCATTTGACTGACATATGATTCTGATAACTGAGTATAGAAAAAATTACAAGTGAAAAGAAAGATTTCATTGTGGAAAAATGCCTAGATGTCATGCTGATGTGTTCCATAATATCTGTCAGTAATATTTGTATACTGATACTGGTTCTTAGCCTGTATAGTTATGAAGGTTATGTATCAGACTTGGTCTAATAAATAAGATATCTAATGCCATTAGTATTCTTTGATTGTTTCTGATTCATGGTTCAACACAAACACAGAAGTTCAGTCAAATATTCCAAAGCATGCTCAGATGTACAGCATGATATGCTTCAGTTGGACATTAATTATGTAGTACAAAAGAACTACTGGTACTAACAATCAGTATATCTTTGGTGAAAAGTTAAAGGTAACAGTTTATTTACATGAAAGATTATATTAAAATAGATTGTGATTTCATTAGTTAAAATGCCCAATATCAAATTATTTCATTCATGTGTAGTGCTGTCTCCAGATATTTTGTCTTAATTTTGCTTTTCATTTTATCCAATTGGAACAAGAATCCTTGCTATATTTTGTCATTATGGACCTATGTGCCTGATGGTAAATTTCTTTTATAATATTACAACTTGTGCAACTGTTGAGGTGTTTTAAAGATTGCCTTTTACTATTGTTTGTACAATCTATTGTTAACTTTCTATGCTCTACATCTTGGCAGATCAGAACCCACAAAACTTGAGATTACACTTATAAATTGGTTATAGATCATCATTGTGCATTGAGATCTTCGCTGCGGGTCTACGGCAGCATAATGTTCTTTGCCAAATCTTTTATAAGGGTGTTGGAAAAATGTTTGCTAAGTGTGCAGATTGAAAAATAGGGCATGATTATTTGATGATTTTTCCATGAACTGGTTTTTTGCAACAGATTTGAACTGGTTCTCTACCAAAAGGATGCTGGAGTAGTGGCTTATTGTGACAGAAATTGAAATTAAAACCCCATTTTCATGAGCAAAGATGGGAATCAAAATTTATCATTTATTTGTAGTATTATGTTGAGGGGATAAAGGTGTGCCCATCTTTGCATTTACCTCAATTCAAAACATCTCAAGATTTACTTTATATGCAAATAGTTGTACCAGTAGCATTAAAGAGGCTGGTCATTCATCATTGCAGGACTGCATGTTGTGTGAGCTATAGTGTAACAAGGGATGTGCCCTGTGATAACAAGTCTGTGACAATTCATTAATTAATGTTAATGGTAATGTTAATGGTATGTATTAGTCTGTGGCTCTGAGTTCATGTACGTGGAATGCAACTCTTAATGGACAATACATGTTGGTCTGTATCTCGAAATGTGAAGGATTTCTGTAAACTAGGGGATTTTGTGAAAATGCATATAAAGTTTAAATGACTGATCCAAATAATTATATAGAGAGTGATTAGTCTACATTACTGCATGTTTTATCAATCATCATTTTAAAATTCTACAATGTTGTTAATATCATGTAAGAGTAATGTGTGTGCATGTCTCAATGTACGATGTATGATACATGTACTGTATAATGATTGTAACACTTCAGTGTGTGCTAGTAGACAGCATTGCTAATAAGAAAACAACAGCTAAATTATATTTCACTTATTTTATTTTTTGTGCTTATTTTATATAATTACAACTGCTTGTAGTCAACTACAAATTTTAAGGTAAAAGGCAAATGGTTAGGTCAACTCTGTACATGGCAGTCATATGATCAGCCTATCTTTATACATTCTGTGCTCTTAATTAACATAGAATACACATAGTGTACTGGAAAAACACTTCCTTTTTGTTTCTAACATTCAAAGTGAGACCAAGTCTAGCCAGACTTGATCCCTTTATTGATAAGGTACTTCTCTCTGTGTACCCCAGTCTTATTATTGCACAGTTCAGGGTTTACTGAACTTGAAGCAGTTACATGTACAGCTTGGTTAGTAGGAGGCTAAAAGACTGCATTCTTTTGCTCCAGGAGGATATGAAACATGATATGAAGAGAATGATATGTTTAAAGAGGTATATGTAAATGACTATAAAATCAACACAGCATGCATTCCATATATTCAAACAAGGTAATCTAAATTTAGCCTGTACAGAATTCTACATTTTATTGAAAAAAATCTATACAAACTTCTTATTTTTATTTTCTTTGTATAAAACAGGCAATTCATCTCATGATGATGAAAATATTAACATTAAAGATATTAATGTACTGTTCTAGACCAACTTTGATTTGTTCATATTCACTCTACTTGGAATGGTTGTTCTTTTCTGGGTCCTTACTTTAGCTGGCCTTTGGAGGACTGATTTAATGGGCATTTACTCTTGGTATTTAAAATATCCTTCATTTTTTTGGTCAAACAGTCTAATTTATATTTCCGACTTTACATCAATAATATGCTAGAATGTTTTCATGTTTAAGTAAGGAAAAGTAATGTCTTAGTCATTGAAATAAAAGTTGCCAGATGATCAGACAGCTCTGTTGCTCAATTCATCATTCAGATGTCCTCATTAAGTACTGCCATTGCTACTTCAAAACAATACTGAATTTCGTTCACATATATTCCAGGTTGGTAAATGTGTTATTATCCTGTGTCATGTACCACTGTGTCTTTATCTCCTTATTCTGATGTTGCTGGACTAATCAGTGTGATACAGGGTCTTTCTTACATTTCACCAATCTGCCAGATTAGTTAACATATTTGAGTCTATGGACACTAGTGGATTGCTTTTAACAGAAAGCACTAAAATTGCTCTATACACTTCACTTTACTTCATCCACACTTAGTCTTGGGGTGGGGTGAGACTTCTCCCTGTAAGAGCTGTTAAAAAGTGGATGTTCATCTGACTACTCCTTGACTGGTCCACTTTAAGCTACCACTGTTTTCTGTGCTACACTATACTGGTTATCGTTACTGTCATTGACATTATCAGTCATTGTCTCAAGGTTAGCGTCAACCTCCATTGAGCTGCCATCCTCCTTTTCAGGAGAGTTTGGCATGTGGGGAGAGATGGGAGACCACATGGGGTAAGGGCCACGCGATTCCCTTCGCTGCTGACGACGTTGCCTTCTTTCTTCCATCATTTGTTGGAGTCTTTCCATCTTCCCTCGTATAGTTTGGTTTTCTTGTTGAAGGCGCTCTTCATTTTCTGTAGAGGAAGAATATGTGTTTGTTAAGAGGTATAGTTTTTGTAGAGGTCTGTCTTCTAGTCCTTTATACAACTTACCCAAAGTTATGTAGAAACTATACAGGTAGGATGCCTACATGATCCCTACTGCTTGTAATAAATTTTAACCTCTAATTTTCTGCAAAAATAATATTGATGACTGATGAGACACATTTGTTCCTTTTTAAGAAAAAAAAAATCGTACCACTTGAGCCATATTATAAATGCAGCAACAATGCATTTAACCTGGATAATGAAACAGAACACTTGAACTATCAGTACTTATGCACTTTATCTATTATTTAATATAACAATTAAATTAAGTGTGAAACTGTGGGAACATAGTACACTTATAGGTAATTGTATGTTATTATATCACAGCATTGTCTGAAAAGCCCCATTGTTGTATTATAGATATGGACAGTGTCATTTTATCTCTATAAACCCTGTGACATGGGGGTGTGTGGTTCCACATGTATATTTCCTCATTGCTCAACTTATCATCTTTTAAGTTCATATGAACAATAGAGTTCAAAACAGGTTTTTTTCTAATGGTTTTACATTCTTGAGAGCATCAAAACATGTCAGCTTGAGCAATCAACTGTTTAAATGAGGCATACATAAATGCTTAGAAGTACTATGTGGCACAGCTGATCTGTCCCGTGTTATCTAGGATGGGTGGAATATGAAATGCACTAAATTGCAGTTGATCCCTTTAATTTTCCAAATGGAGCATTTGGTTTGGGCATTTTCCTCTGCCTTCAAAATCTATGTGCCAAGTTAATGATGTCTGAGGAAGTTGAGCATTTTTGCAGCTGTACATAAATTGTAAATGTTAACTGAATACTGTGCCAAAGATAAAGCTGTTGTGGAAGCCTTGGTTAAGTAGTTTTGCATAATGTGTTAAATGATCTGTGTTGATTAGCAGGCAGGTGGACAGCAGGGTAATGAGCTGTGTAAAATGAACTCTCAATGCTCCACAGTGAGTGAGGTGAAGGAGGCAGGAAGATATATAGATGGAGTATTGGTTATAACATCTTACCAGGAGTGTGGTTAGGTTTTGTGGCCATGGCTGACATCATTCTTTCTGCTTTCCTAGAACTCTGCTTCCCAGAACTTGCTCTGTACTGTGGCGTGGCCCCCAAAAGGTCATTCAGAATGTGAATTATTGTGCTGATACTCTTCTTGGGCTTCCCATCTCTGTCCTGCAGTGCTGGATTTAAGGTGCCTATAAATAAAAATTTTAATTAATAAAATTATTTTAAAAATGCCAAACACAGCAGATAGATGGGCAGATATAATTTTGTCTTCAGAAAGTAATTTTGAACTTGCACAGTGGTTCCTTTTTTTCCAGACAACATATACAGAGACTGTTACTATTGATCCTGTGTCATAAATTGGTTATGCTGAAATAACATTAGCTGGTCTTGGCATTTTACCTCACATTTGACATTTTGAATAAGGAATAGTTTCAAGGAAATTAGTGAAAATGTAACAGCAAAGTCGTCTCACAATCTAGAGTACAGGTGAAAAGGCACAGCTTTACTTCAAGGAAGCTTAAGAAATTTATTTTGGTTCTTTCAGTTGTAACATGCAATGTATACATTTGCATATCTATAGGTATCACCCAAAGTCCACCCAAGTCAGTCTAAGACCATTACATATAACATAAATATGATCTGATGTGGGCAGATAGAATACCAGTATGTGTGCATTCCAACCTTGGTGTTCCAAGAATGAATGGTGTGGGCTGTAACCTGACACATGTGACAACCCCTATGTATTTATTTCTTCATTTGATGTGGGATACCAACACAGCCCTATGGCGATATACCTAATGAAATAATGGAACCAAACATGCCCTGTTAATCTTTCACCCACATGGTCTATACAAACTTTACCCACTTTTACAAAGAAAGGTGTGTGTATATATATATATGTATACATCTATAATATATCCCATCATTTACTGTGAGTTGGTCAGTCAGAAAAAAAATGCCTTCAATATAGACATAACTTGGTACCGCAGTCATTTCATATTAATCTTTCCTTGTGGTGGAATGATACCTACTGCATATACCCACACTAATGTGATAAATCAAGTTTATCCACTCTATCTTTCTCATTGGGGGCAAGAATATTTAACACGTCTCATCCAATGTCCTGGTTATCACTGCTGTAAGGGATGTGCTATCAGCAAAATGGCAGACAGATAATGACAGGGTTACCTGCTCAACCAACCATGTGTATTGCAACTTGACACTGTTCTGATTTTAAGACTTGCAGCCTGTTTTTATTAATCTTTTAAAACAGGAAATAGCCATAGGGATGAAGAAAACAGGTAGTCATTACAAAGTTGTGTATGGACGGATGTACCTTCCAATTTCTTTTATTATGTTAGGCCATATCACTAGTCATTTACATCAAAGAAGAAATACATGAGCAAACCACAGGTTTTGTTCAACTTAAGTAACAGCTTGTGTGTGCAACCGCATCAGTCCAAGGGCAGACCCAATCATTCCAGTGAACGGAATACAAAGTTCTATGTCCTGCCACTGCTTGTGGTTACCAGTGCACTTTATAACATGTTAGCTTCCTGGGGTATTGTTAGTTATAATAACACCCTCAAGTAACCTCCTGTCCTGTCAACTTATATTTACACACCTTTGTCCAAATATAATCGCATTCAAACTCTCTCAAAAGATCTTCCCTCGTGACCAAAAATCTTTTACTTTAAGGGGTGCTTATTTGATCAGTGAATTTTTGAACTCTGAGCACAAAGGTGCAAGATTTTCATACAGCATATACTCTCCCTGCTACAACTAAGACAGAAGTATAAGCTCCCACAAAGCCTTTGATACTGCAATATGTCTAGATCCGTTCTCAGGATGTTTTAGATTTATGTGTTAGAGAAACACACTATTTTGCTACCCCCAGTCACAATCCTAATTATGAAACAAGTATTTGTACACAAAAGGATGTCTGTCATCCCAGTCCTAATTTTTCAGCATTGTGTATGCTTCAGCTTGACAAGACACATTGTGTTGTAATATATTATGTTCTTTTTGTATGTCAATGGTTTAACTGTTCTCTTATTTCAATGTCCAGTCCACTTACTGCCTCTGTATATTACATCTAAAACATTGAAGGGCTTGGGAATTTAAGGGTTAGGATTTCAGAACAATATTATCATGTTTGCCATGGTCAAATTTGGAAAGGAATTTCACTGTCGTCACAGGGACACCTTTCCCCGCATGACGATGAAAAGTTTTGCATTGTTTTCACTTATACTATATTCTCAAAAGGACATTATTATCCATATTAATCCTGTAGGTTGATTATTAACCAGAGAAAGCTAGTTATCTTCCCTTCAGCCTTCAAGTCATCATCTAAATTAACTTATTTACTTCATATATAATTCTCAGATACTGAATTTATCAACATGAGACATGGGATTTTACTTAAATTTTGGCAGCATCATTTTTAGTTAAGACACAAAACAGTTTAGCCTCTTAACTGAAGAAAAAGAAATACGTATATACTGGTTGAGTTAATTTATTTCACAAGGAAATCCACAGAGGATAGGTATATGGCAGCTCTATGGAATTAGCAGCTGGAAAAGCCCATGTAAATACAGGAAAAAAATCAGTACTCCAGTACTATCAGGAGCTTCTCTCTATCAGTTCCTTTAGATCAATCTTGTAGTGATTCAATTATGTGTTGCCCAACCCATCATTTACATCCTTAATAAATTAATTAGAGATTCCCTAATAATAAGTGTAGCCCATGTAGACCACAGATTTGTTCTGTGAATGGCTTCCCACTCAGTCAGAACCAATATCGTACTACACTATGGTAATTATTCACACATTTCAGAGATAAGTTTTCAATATCCAATTTTTTTCAAGGTAAAATCAATTCAAATTACAGAAATAAAAATACTTTTTGGTGTGCTTTTAAATTAAGTAATTTCATCAACTCCCTAAGGCTTTGCTGGTAAAACATCTAGTCAAGTAAGTGTAAGAAATCGTTTTGTTTGAATCTGGTGAGTCATTGCTGTATTTGTTTATGCGTGATTCTACGAATTTGGTTTTCCCAGTACTCTGGTAATGCAGTGCCAGGAGAATAAGGTGTAATCAGATCCCTACCGTATTGATCGCTGGCTTTGTTTTTGTTGCACAATGGAGGGGGTGGTTTGGTCATTGACCTTATGCTGAAGGGAATGTAAATTTTGATAGTACAGTTATTTGTTGTAAACAATTAACAGATACTGTGCCCCTCCAGTGTTATTTTGTACACATCCTGGTTGGTACAAAAAATATACACCAGTGAGATCTTGCTGGTTGATGATGACCCCATTCACATCATATTAATTGGGTCTGTCCAACTCTGCAGATGGGGATTCGCGCTAAGTGCAATCAGTGGAATCAGCTTTACTGCCTGATACAACTCCTAGAGCAGCTAAACCCTAGCAGCTAGAGGAGACCTGTCATTCAGTTAAGCCGATTGCACTTGCCCCTGCAGAGTATGACCAACCCAACTAGTGAGATGTGTCTATCTGAATGCTCCCTTTGTCACCCCTTGAAAAAAGATTAATGCTCGTCCTAGAAACTGGTCTGCCATAAGATATATTCAAAACGCAATGGACAAACTGCCTTGATCTTTTCCTGGTAAAGTGATTTGACTGACAGATCAATGCAGAAGTCACTAATGAAAAGTGGCCGTTAAGTACTATAACCTTTTGATATTATACACAAGTGAGTGAATGATGTATACCATTATTGAAAACATACTTAATATTTTATCATTCAAACAATGTGGAATGAGAAATTATTGGAATATTTAACAAGGCTGTGGTGCACAAGCACTGATATGAGACAAATGGTATGTTGTATTCAAAGTGCAAGTCTGTGTATGGAGTGAACAATATCCTTCATCAGATAAACTCATTCCACCGTTAATCAATCATATATTTTAATGCAGACTCCGGTTCTCTGGAGGATGGTCACAACTGTAGGAGGAAAAACATGTGGGCCTGACTCCATTGTAAACAACCTCTCCGTAGAGGTTTGCTTGTCAGGAAAACGGGGAAACAAACAAAGGCCATTATGTAGGTCACAACTACTTACATACCTTGAGTGTCTTTATGGCATTACTCAAAATCATGTTGACCTTCATGAAAAGTTCATTTTTATGATCTTTTACAATCATTTACTTTTTCAGCTCTTTAGAATGATGTTTCTAACTTACACAAACATGGGAACTGATAAGAAATGGTAGCGCAGTGTTTTGAAAATTATTTATTTAACGCCCACCAAAAGATAAGTTATGCTGGTGCATGAAACCATATCAATGGCGATATGCCATTTGAATCACTGAGGAGAATATTTGGCAGTTCAGTGCTGGAATGAAGATGCATTGTTTAAGTAAATGTGCTGAATATCACACCTTCTCAGCTGACCCAAAACTCTGGGGGGCTATGATGTACCACAGCACCGTGACCACCAGGCATTAATTTTATATTAGCATAATCACCCTGTACTTTACAAAGTTAACTCATCTCTATGGTAATCCATCATGGTGGGCAGATGGTTGGACTGTAGTCATTAACTCTTGTATGATACTGTGTGGGCTAGGTCATGTACTGCTTAACTTCACTGAGTGGGAGGGGGGTCAAATGCATGAATGTTTAATATCCACCTTTGATGGACTTGTGAATTTCTGACCTACATCAACTTCCATGGCTCAACACACTGCTGCATTGAAACTGACTGAACCAATTACATAGAAAATATTCAGATTTGCAGGAAATAAAAAGAATGTTGCACTGCAAATGTCTTCTCATTATCACGTCTTGTAATAGAACACCGTTATTATAGTTAGGCATCTACATCATATTCCAAGAAGTACTAATCTGTTTAACTCTCAGTTGATCCCATTGCAATTAACCCTTCACCAACCATACTTTGTGTATTGATTTAACAACGTAAACATCTATGACATTGCTATGCTGGCAAGTGCCCACGTAGTAAAGGTATTTTACAAACTTGGGCATAACTAGTCATCCATAATAAGCCTGCTTAAAAGATTAAATATGTAATGCATCTGCTCTAAATGACTGCTTTGCTATAGATTCCTTGCTTTCTACAATCTTTGGGTAATAAAAATCGGTAGTCTTTATTAAACTGCTTTATCTAAATTATTATATATTAGTAAATATTTTTTCACTTTTTCCTTTCACAGTTTTCCAGTACTAATTCATCATACACCTCACAGAAAGCCATCTTTATTCAATAGATACCAGTTTACAGTGAGATTGAGGGATGCATGGTTGTCTGCTGGTGCATTACACTCCTCACTCCACCACCACCACCCTACCCATCCACCCTACCCTCATGTATCAGAAAACTACTGTGTTTAAGTGGTCAAAATATGATAATAGTGAAAATGGAACCTGTTGACTGGGCATAATACGTACGACCTTCATGGTATGGATAGGTTGGCACATTATAATAGTTATTATTATTACCCTATGTCATAAAAGATGCCCCAATTCACACCTGAAAAAAATGTCAAGTGAAATACAAATTAAATGGACCACCTAACACCAAAAAAAAAAGGACTCTTGGCAAGTTGAGAGGAGTGGTATGTTATGACGCTATAGGTGACCTCTTGGCTTTTTACACAATGGCTGTTGACCTACCTGAGAAAGTCCCTGAGTAGACACCTTGTCCGTGGTGCTGCATGCTCTCTATGATGGCACCTTGCTGTTTATCACGTGCCATGGCTGGTGACAATGATGACATCACTGAGGAGGAGGAGGAGGTGGTGGATGTTGTAGTGGAAGATGTGGATAATGATGATGATGTTGGTTTCATCGTGTTAGTTGTAACAGGGGGCGATGGTGGTGGGGTCAAGTCTTCCTCCTGAAATAAAAGAGATACAAAACATATCACACTTGTTATGGTAATAACAAAAGAAATATCTGTTCTGTTGTTGATGTTTGCTTTCATCTTAACCAACTTTCATAAGGAAAATATTTTCTTTTCTTCCAAGAAAACAACAACAACAACCCCCCTCTACACACAACATCCAAGATTAGTTCAAAGGCACATTTATGGGCAACTTGTGCCAAGTTTACAAAGGAACCATCCAACTAATCCCTAGATTTTAATAAGAACCACATCATGTACACAATGTCTATATGTCACCATGCATTAACTACCCCGCAAGGCACCAGCAATGGTGGTGGGTGGGACACCAGAGAGATTAGAATGACTCCCTAAGGTTATAGATCCTAATCACAGTCTGCTGAGATGGCATGGTACCTATTTCAGCTGTCACAACTGGCCTTTGAATGCACCTTATGACCGAAGTGAGCTGTTCAGCAGGGTGGGATTATGTTAACCATATCACCAGATTAAAGCTAGCATATAATATTTCATCTTAAATGCTGAGGATAATTTGAATTGGTTAATTTTTTTTCGTGTGGTTTAGACAGAGATGAATATACTACTAAACCCAGTTGCTATATTGGCACGATAAAAATCCAGTCACTTGTTGCCTATAAAGAAACTCAACGGTATTTTTTGTAATTAAGCCCTTCCTACATCAAGGAGTAAATACAATGTTTCCTTTTCACAACACTATCAAATAAATCAAATTCTATGAAATGGACAAAAGGAAATGTAATCTGAAGTTTCATTTAAACTACATGTGTATGTTAACATATACAAATTCCTGGAATTTGTTAATTGATTCTATCCTATGACAGCATACATCAAGGAACTTTGGCATTACTCTGATGTTAAAGATCTGGATGCATCTATATCAAATAACACACTGATAAAATAACCAGAATTTTACCACAATCTAGCCTTGTTCATTCACAGTAATTGCAGCGAAGATTTTGACTTGTTTGCCTTTTTTTAACATAAATACTTCTAATGTGAGAATCGAAATGTGTCATTGAAAGTCACCGTGATAAGCACATTGTCTATCTTTACAACTGATATGGTTTTTTCTTGGTTATTCAAACTTGTAGAGCCCAACCCCTCTCGCCTTGAGCAAATAAACTTTGAAAAGGTTACCATACCCAGATCCAGGTTACCACACCAAAAAATTTTATTTACAAGTCCAAAGGAGCTACTCTGCAAAATGCCCCACAGTGGGGTGGGGTTCAATTCACTGTGGGTCATTTTGCAGAGTAGCTCCTTTGGACTTGTAAATAAAATTTTGAGAGTTGGGACAGAGGGGAGGTGGCACACCTATGGTAGAAATGTTACGAGTTAAAAGTCTCCACAATTGTTGGGGTTAAGCGATCATTTACCTGGTTTTTCGCTGCTTCAGCCGATGCCTGTGACAATTCCTTTAATCTTTTTGATAAATTTCTGCTTGCCTCTGCTAATAGCGATTTGTCCAGTATAGGTAATGTGTTAATTGGTGGAGCTTCTTTCACTGTCATTGTTTGTGATGATGAGGCGTAAGGCGGTTTATTTAAAGACGATGGGGTAATATCTGTTGCTGTAGATGATGATGATGATGATGGTGGTGGTAATGTATTGGATGGCAGAGTGGACTGAGCGTCTTTATACAGTAACTGTGAGGCTGGTGAAATCGCAGCAGTCGATCCATTTGATGTTCCCATTGAGGCGGTGCCAGCAGACGACACTGAAGACGACGTCTGATTGGCTGATGTCCTCTTTCTTTTTGCAACTTTCTTGGGCGGGGTCGTCGAGAGTTGAAGCTGTACAAACATCATGTGGTCTCCAAGTCTCATAGCTAAAGTCAGGGGTGACTTACCGGAAAGAAAATCATTTACCTGAAAAATAATAGGATAAATGAAGGGAGGTAACATTGAAACATGGTGACAGATGTGCGACGTTGATTTTATTCAAAGTGTACAACATTGCCATAATTTATTTAATCGGGAAGGTGGGGGTTGTTATCATTGTTCCAGCTAGTTATCATCGTAAGTTAAGTCAGATTGATTGCGCGCTATCTTAACGATAGCTTGGATACTACGGTCAGAAAATGACCCCGTTCATTCGATAAAAGCACTCTATTGATCGGACAGAACAATAAAATAACTCGGTGAGTTTCTGGGTGCATGGGAACAAACGGGGGATTTACAGCATATAATGTATACTGAACTATACAGCTAAAGGTAATCTCTATCTCGACCGCATGTCGTCGCACACAAACCGCAACCATATTTGGATTTGGGATTTGCGTCCGCCCCTTGATCACGTCCTTAACAGCACGTGAGCGCGAGCAGGATCCGCACATTTGCATCAAAATTGAGGCAACAGGGAAGTCCCACAAAACATTGGCCAACTGCCAGGGTCGCGTTTGGTTAGCCTTAAGAAACTGCGACGAAGGAAAAGAGCACCTTTGACACGATGATTGCACACATGAAGTTAATCCAACGACAACAATCACGGAACGCTAGGCAATGACTGATGTTTCTTGGGTAAATAGATTACATCTGACCCTGATCACGGCTATAGGTGCACATTTGTTTTGGAGTGCCAGGGTCGCATAAAACGATCTACTCCTGTGGGCGGCTATAGGTACCGGGCACAGAGGGGACGCCCACTAACTGAACCCACGCTAAAGCATATAGCCCATGTTGCATTAAAAGCAGACATCCCCATCCCCTCAGACCATTAGATATGCCATATCGCGTACGGTATGTTTTATTTTCCCACGTTGAAATGACCCTTAGACATATGCGCACTTTGCCGCTATCGCGGTTAAGAAGAACTATGACCGCGGACCCATCACCTGCCTAGTTGTAGACCAGTTTTTATCGTTGTTTAATCATTCCAACGCTGCTGGCCGTATCGCTTTTACAATGCTTGTCATGTGGTCAATTAGCACGTCACGCGGAAATGCCTGCAGTTGGGTGCATTATAGAATAACAGTTGCTTCAAACTTGTTTAGAAAAGCAAGTCCCGGTCACGATTAGGAATGTCGAAAAAGAAAAACGAGAAAATTTGAGATCATTACACCCAGTTTGACCAGGTATAGCCAGTGTGATTTGCAATTTTACAGCTAACGATCATGTTTGCATGAAGTAAACTGTGACCGACTTAGACTACGAGCTAGAAGGCACTGTATGTTGTTCCTCCACGAAGCACAATAAAATCATTCTATTTACAGCAAACTTCCGACGTGCCGCGTTCTTGATTGTGAGTTAGGCATGCATATCGCATCAACCATCTGCCTCTACATAATGCATACCGTTGGTGGCGAACGAAACGAGATACAAACTCCCTTTCAACGTCAAGAGGGATTTGAGGAGGAATGCTGGTTCACGTATTTTGTACGTGCCTTTAAAGGTGTCGGATCGTCAAACGCCTCTTGCGTATTTAGACCGCTGTTCTCCACGCAACTACAGGGCTATATTGTTGAACATAAAAAGTGCCCGTATGAAGTGCATGTTTTACGTATGCACCAGGCGTGGTACTTTTCCCCAATAAAATCACGTTGACAGCTTTGCCTATGCGTCTCTCAATTAAAATCCTGCTTTGCTACATTGATCCTAAGACATTTCTTCTGAGATTCAAAGCCACGAGTTCGTAGCAATTTGCTTCGATCCCTACCACTGCAGTGAGGTGTATTGATTTTTGAGCCGGTAGTCTGTTGTTACCAGGCTGGATTGACGTCAGTCCTTTCAGTGCAAGCAGACGACGGCTATTCTACAGTGTTCATCAACAAAAGTTAAAGTAATAAAAGCACCCACGGCCTGGCTCACCACTGAGAGAGCGGGACACTGGAAACACCCACTCAAGACCAAACCCCCTCCCCTCCAAAATAAGAAGAAAGAAGACGAAACAAAAGTACCTAATTAGGACGGTGTAATATAACTATGCGTTAAAGGGGCCTTACAAAATCAACTACGATCTCGCGGTGTGAAGTCTCAAGATAATAATGTTCATTCAAGTGCCTGCCTTCCCTGTCCCAGTTTTGACGTTTACGAGGAAAAATATCCGCCAGACATTCCTCCTGATTTACCGCATCCTGTGGTTTAACATTTCCCAGTCCACTTGCTGGCTTAAACTACAGACTCGGAGAGAAAAGGGGGCTATCACGCGAGCCTGAGTGATTATGTTAGTTACGGTCAGTTTAACGCAAGGTCAGCCATCTCGTGATGGTTTAATGTGACATTCAAATTATACAGTAGTCACAGAGCTTAATACCCTTACCATATCTAGTTATGCTTATCTGCATAATATTGTAATTCTCAAAGGGAACCGTAGACAGGCCTTGTACCCGTTCAAATGGGCGAAACAGCAAATATCCGTAAGTTTTTAAGAAGTCAGATTTTTAATATTCCATCGATGTGAAAGAGTGCACCCATTACCCTTAAACCAAAGAATTACACATTTTTGTTTTTGAGCCATTATTCATTTTAACCGCGGTATTCCAACCCTGCGTGACGCGGGAGCGTAGGTGGGGAGGGGGGCGGTGTTCACGCACGCAACAGTGGAACCGAATCGAAGACTATGTGCTGGCGGGCCAGGCGATTTGGTTCATTTATTGAACAATTACAAGGGTAAAAATAAGAAAACGTTGGGAAAATCATCTTTATCGAAGACGTTTTCTTATCGACATCCTTTCAGTTGTATACACAGGACAGGCAAAAATAGCGCCCCGCTGTAGAAACAGGGAAATCTTTATCTAGATTGCACGGCAGACATTAATAAGAGCCAGTGCTGCAGTATCAGCTGGGCTGCTAGCAGCTATCCTACCAATATGTCAGCGATTGTTTGGCTTTGGCATTAGGCATTTCGCCGGACCTCGACATCTGACAACCGCGTCAGGTGTCAAACCTCGCCTCCTCTCAGCTCCACGGGTTATATTCCACAGGAGGCATTATAATGGCTATGTGCTGCTTACACTTGAGAGAAGTTTATGAGGAAAGACAACGTAGAACTCTTGAATCATGGGTCAATTTAAAAATGCTGTTGATTTTGGTTTATGTTTAATCATACATCGTACCGAGAATGATAAATTTGCGCTGAATCATACGCTTTCCACTATTCCGGTTTCTTCAAGTCAGACACGTTCCTATTCGTTACTAAGGTTACCAAGAAAATAATCGATGCGCACTGTAGTCCTAGATATTGACATTTTTGATGAAACTAATGATATTGGGTTAAAATGATGCCTGTCAAGTCATCTTTACTCCATGCTCCACTAGAGCCATATCACTGTATTCTCGTGCACGTGAAAACATTAGAATATCCGCCCGCCCCCTCCTATTATCCCCTCCAGTAATGGAGCCCTAAGGAACCCCTGAATATACAATGGCGTCAGTTAATTTAGCACAGCTGGTATCTGGGCGAAGGTGCAAATTCTAGCTGTAATCTCTCAAGTCTTCAAATGCTCCAAGAACTGAAAACCCCGACAACTTTCACAGCAAGGGCCCGCCTTTAGAATTTTCATGTAAATAAATACTGCCCTAGCCCTTTCCCATGGAGAAGCAGTCAAGCGCGTGAAGGGACGGGAACAAAACCCTTTTATTCTGGCGCTCGGCGGCCATCATTTTAAGCATTTGCTCCGTGCAGCACATGTGTACACTATACTAACCTGTCCGTCTGATAAATTCTCCAAAGCTTGTAAAACACTTTGTTCAGCACGTTGATTCTGAAACAAACAAAAAAAAACTTGAACTTGACATCGTGAACTTTGCGCACAAAGGGGGTTACTTTCGCTGAAGAGAGAATAATTTTTACTGGTTATCTTGTGTAGAATGTGGTTGTGCGCTTTGAACATGGGTTGCCACAAAATAAGTCGCCGATTCTGGGCATATCTATCTTTATTTTATCTCCAGTCTAGCAATGCTTCAGTGCATTCCTGCGGACGAGTCGTGGCTCTGTTAAAGGACTCCGCATATCATCGCTATTCAGCTGTAAGTGGGTCACGGACTGGGGCTAGGGTAAAAGAATACCATTGCACACAGCGACGCAGTTAAATTTCTCCGCTGGCACCTTGCGCACATAAATTGAGCTAGAACTACGTACAGGGTGGATATTATGGGAAATGTCTACGTCACAAAAAGTTGAATGGACGAGAAAGATGCCATAAAGTATTGGGGCTTACCATGAGTCCGCTCTCTACGTGCGGTAACAGAGTGATCCGGCTTCCGTCCACCACGCTGTGTTCCCGTAAAGTCCCATCTTTTAAAATCCTAAGAAATAAAGATCACAGAAGTTAAGATAATCATTTACTGTGAGATGTGGACTGTGAGATGATCTTGCAAACTAAATCGATTCTTATTATGTATGGCGCGCAAATCATAATAAACGATTCTACTTACTTTTCTCGAAATAGTATACTGATTTTGTCCCTTGTAACTTTAAGCTTTTTTCCTATTGCTCTTTTTAAGTCGTCCACTGTGAACTCTTGCGTTACTTGGAGATCGAATTGTCCACCTGTAGAAGGGCAGATCTGAATAGAAATCAAGTTTGTGGAGGTGCTCTGCCCGTTGGAGCATAGAAGTGACTCCGTAGAACTAGTAGGACCAGCAATATCCCGCTCCATTTTGGTCCTGTCTATACTAGTGGCCTGCAGTCCGATCCCTGATCGTCTTCTCCTCGAGATGCGAGTGTCCTTTCGTTGTAGTCCAGGGGTCTGGTTCCAGTTTGGGGTGTATGCCACCGCGTCCGTACGCTCAGCGCTGTGCAAGCCAAGCCAGGTTGTTAACACTCGAGGTCGATTTACAATGAACGGAGCTCGGCCAATCAGAGGCCTGCTTAAAGACGAGTCTACTCTGTGTAGGGGAAGCCAGAAAGAACGCCAAGTCTCTTAACGCCTGGTGGCTGTGGGGTTAATGTAATAGATCAGTATCAGAATGTCCGTAAAATGTCACGATGGAGTGTTCTTCGAACGTCGTGACGGGATAATTATATATCTAAGATGAGCCACCTTGAGATGTGACTCAACCCAGAGACCTGCTTTAACCAGATCAGCTGACAACGTGTCGTGCACGCATGAACCTTCCCGCAGCTATTTATGTAGTGCCAAGTATTGGATAACTAGGTTGTCGATGAGAAACGAGAGATTTCAATGTTGACATATTTCAATACCCTAGACGCGAATGAAGCAATCGCCGCGACACATTAGTTTGGGTGGTGACTAAAGCGCGTGGGTGAACACGTACACCTACATGACTTTATTTACACCTATATTACGAACACCTGTGACCAAACCAGCAGTCAAACTGATTGCGAAATTCTCTTTGCGCTGTTAAGTTTTTGTAATGGAATGAGGGGTCCTCACGAAGTTTCTTTAGCTCGTTGCACTTTACATTAGGATGTTGCTTATAATATGTCCAAAATTCCAGGGCACAAAGCCGTTGCACCAGTTTTAGAACCTCTTTCACAGGGACCTGAGCATCATTACCAACTCCTACATACCGCTTGTGCGCAAATATAATCTACATATCCCATTTTTCTTCTGATTAAGGCTTCTACCGTCTTCTGGAAGGATGAAAGTGGTTGGTATTAACAGAAAAACGCACTAGTTGAATCAGAACTGTTTTATTGACACCCCTGCCCTGGAAACCTGACACCTGACACCGCCATTAGATGCGATACAATCACATTGAAGGACCGCCAGGGTTGGGCGGGAGGTCATGAAACGCTTCGCTGAGAGAGGTAATCAAACAATGGTGAAGCCTGACACTAAATTGTTTAAGAGTGTGTATTGTGGTTAAAATGCATCATTCAGAATATAGGAGGCTTGCCTTACGATTACTGGAACCAACAGCGTATATGTCCGACTGTTCAGGGAACCAACCATGAACAATGATGTAAGGTTATAAATTGCTGCCTACAGTTATTAGCTGCGCAGTTTGTTGATAAAGAAATGTTTGTCATTCGATTTGTAAACAAGACGTATGATCGTGTAGTTGAGTCAGACATCAGCACGATGCTGCAGGTGGGTCACTGAACTGAAGGGCCTGTACAAACACAACAAACGTAAAATCGTATATCTTTCTTATCATACAGTGGCACAAAATCAAATAGTTTATACCAAGAAGCAAAGGTAAAACGTGCTGCTATGGAAAAACGTCACGGAGGAGACTCCGTCAAGGTATTTATTATTGTTATTGTGTCATTCAGACTCCAATGATGAGAATAAATTTTGATATTAAACATCAACTTCTGACAACATTATTTCAAAAGGTTATAAACGGAATTAAGAAATAAAAATCTTATGAAGTTGCCTATGATTAGAAAAATTATTTATATGTAGGCTTATGATGTTTTGTGAAAAAAAAGAAAACGTGGGGGTGGGGGGGGGGGCAAATCTACAAATAGAAGCAATTTTCCGATTGTGAATATTATGTTCGGTGCCCCGGTTTTGTCTTTAAGCCTCTTGTACTTAACTGAATAAAATGTATGTTTTTAACGAGCGTGACAGTGTTCGTCTCAATCCGTGAACAATTAAAATGATTTATTGTCATGGGGAAGCACTGCAGGTCATGATAAGGGCATATTTTAACTCCCTTCGTGACTTTAGTAGTCTTTCCATCAGGAGATACGCTCAGGGTTAACCTAAGCATTGGGTGTTACGTCTTGCCCTGACGACCTTGTTGTAGAAAAGTCACGATACATAAACACGAACAGCACATCTTAATATACATTAAATGAATGGGCTATTTTCTAACAAACGTAAATGGACGTAAACAACACGCAGTGCGATAGAACAATGGGAATGACTGTTTGGTTTTTACCTTTTCTGCTAAGAACTGGGGTGTGTTCTTGGTTTACCAATACATTTCTCAGCAACAGCGGTGGCAGAAGGAAGCAGGGGTGTGCTCTACTCGGGGTACAGGTGTCATGGAGTGTGGTTGTGTACATTTTCTACTTACAAAGAGACCTTTTCACTCATTATAGTAAACATATTCAATGACATTTGGATTATTACTTTAATTTTTAAAGATGGGCCTGTGTTCATTTTTGAAAGATGTTTCGTACGTTGTGCGAGCGACTTTTTATACGTCACATTTAGTATGCGTTTCACGATGGTAAAATATGTTATCTTCAAAGCTTGTTTGAGGGGGTAATTTTATTTCAGGATGTATCTCTTTCGTGACACTTTTCACAGCTAAGCTCATTTTTAATGTGTCAAGTTTAACGATTTTTGGGAACGAGAACGTCAAATGTAAGCGTAATGTTTTCCTTAATTTCCCCTAAAAAACCCCAGTCTCGGGGCGGTATCAATTTTAAGTTATCAAATGTGTCTCTTAGAAGAAAAAAGAAAATATTAGAAATATAGGGAACTGCCCCTGAGTTACAAAGAGTGATGGAAAATGAGAGGGCCTGCTTGTATGTGATATTGAATTCAAGTTACATGATGATGAGCAAGGTATATATTTTGTCGTCAAAAAATGTTTTGTTTTTCTGATTTTACCCTTTAACTTGAATTGTAGGCCCCCTGTTAGTAGCAAACGGTTGTAAACGGTTTTTGTTAAAGGTATTCCCCACGCCTTGTTGGTAGCTTTTGCCGAGATTCTTCAAATCTCTTGTGTAGATTGTCATCAGCCAATCTCCATTATATATGCCAATCAACAGTCAATAAGCCACCGCAGCTCCAATCCCATTCATACCAATGTGAAGGCAACTGTTTTGAAGTCTTCACTGGAAGCGATGTCATTATCCACGTGTTGTAAACAAGTTCAAATCAAATCTCCCATGCTCTATAGACAATCTTCAATGGTCAAATGTTCAAGGTCTGTAAGCCCCACCCCTCACCCACCAATAGCCTGCGACGATGTTAGAATCGTGATCCTGGTAGTAATATAATAACTTTCACCCAGAATTATAGTCTACTACAACCACACCCGTGGGCCTTCCACCAGCTTACCAACACCCTCTCCACTAGCTGAATTAACAGGTACCATCTTCCAGGGCCACAGCATAATTTTTTCACTAGATATACACAGTATATCTACAGTTATCTCTCTGCCCCTGACTCTGTGCACACATGTGAACCGTGAGAATTTTGAAAAAAAATGCTGGTAGAGAGTGGTTAACCGGCATTGTGTGCCGTGCTGGACAGAGGTAAGTCAGCATCAGCTCTCAGTGCTTTGACCAGCCTTGACACAAGATTTATTGATTGTTAGCATTCGGTCTAACCCTCCAATAGCCGATGCTGTATACATCCTGAGATCGATATGATTTATCAACGGCTCTTGTCACGGCGAAGAACTGAATCATCTTCTTGAAATCACGATTGAAATAATATCGGCGTGTTATCTCATCTGCAGAAAATATCAATCATCGGAGTAGAAGCCGATGACTTGGTGAATTAGTCGGCGATGATAGTTAAACTGAGTCAGGGCACATGTGTGATTAGAATACTCCACTCCTAGACGATCTTCACTATGTAAAGGACGCTGGGTTAATAAAAAGAAAAAAAAAAGCGCTGCGCGCTTCTGTTCCATAATCGTACGTAGCAGGTGCACGTGTACCGAAGTGGTTGTTGCAAGACCAAGTCGTAAGGATAATTTTCTGATAAGAAAAATTGCATGACTTCCTGGAAGCCACACTCAGTATCATGCTTCTGCTGGTTCACTCTCAACTCTCTTCGGTTAATTTTTATGTACAGACACAGATGNAAAGATTAAAAGTTTGAATGGCAGCATCATTTTCTATATTTTCACATAAGCAGTTGTATTGTTTTTTATGTCTTTAAACATTATGTAATATTATTTTATGGACTGTCATCATTTTTCAAATATTGAGACTTTCATCATGAGAATTTGAACTCTCATGGTCCTGAAACTGTAATCTTACTGAAGGGGTGGATTGAGACCATCTTCTGGGTCTTCCGGAAGACGGTCAGGTTATTAAGTTTATATTGGCTGGTATCTATTTTTTTCTGTTGGAAGACCATAAAAATGGAGGATGGATCAACATAGATACTTTGGAATACTGTCAGAAAATATCTCTGTGTTCGGTCCTGTTATTGACCATGGTACCTGTTGTGCATGATTAAAATTCAGTGTTGACTGACAGTGCTATTATAAGCATTATTTATTATTGCATCAAAATTGACAAAATGACCTATTTTGCATCTTTATTTTCTGTTTTTTGTCTGTACATTTGACAGCTTTGCTGCCTTGTTATATTTAAAAATCTTATTAAAAATTAAGGTATTCAGATGGCACAGTGAGCAACAAGACGAAATATTTTGGTCATGATCTTGCAAAATCCCAGTTCTTACCTCAATCTAAGGATAATTCTTTGGCTAATCGTCTCAATCCCTCACCCACTATTAAGGTGCTATTTGTGGTGAAATGTGCCTTTTCAGGTGGAGTCAAATGAATACCTCGACTTTCAGCAAGGTTCAACATTGGGTGTGGTAATTATATATAATGATGTTTTCTTGTCATCCTTGGTGTAGCAACGACGAATAAAAGCCAATTTTTTATACTCTGGATTTCCTTAGATAGCATCAAGTTTTTATTATCACAATGGGTCTTTTTCCAAGAGAAGAGAAGAGACCTCCATTCTCGTGTTGGGGGATTTGTATGAAATGAGCAGTACTCAAGTTGTAATCTAAATTTTTTAACAGCATGAAGTTAACACACACACACACACACAAACTCACACACACACACACACGGCTATAAGAAGATAGGTGAGACTACCTTTAAAACAAAGCGAGCTGACACTTAGGCTCTATTCCCATAGATTTTAGATCGATCTATCCCCGCGGGGAGTCTCACTAGATTACTTTCAGACAATCCGACTTAAATGTCCGTCCCGCCTACTACAAGCTATAAGGGGGTAATTAACTTTCGTGTCCGCCCGGCTGACAGCTATTTAGCGTGAACCCCCAGGGAGTTAGGTCGATCTAAAGTAGGTCGATCTAATGTATGGAAATGGGGCGTTAAATTCCACTCATATATTGTTTATTTATTTATTTATTTATTTTTATTTTTTTACACATTCACATAAACTCACGTCTTTCATCGTGATCTTCCATTTTATCAACCTCTAAGTGACAAGTAAATTTCCAGATTTTCTTCTTTCTAAAATGTGTCTAACACCAAATTTGATCGACATTGAAATAAAAAAGAAACAACAAGTAGCCCTAAGGGTAAGAGCTGATATTGTCTCGTGTCCAACGTTATCTGCCACTAGAGGTTATCTCAGGTAGTGTACGATATGGCATCACGTTCTGTGAGTCACTCTGCAAGAGCGGATAGTATTGATTTTATGATGGATTTTTTTGGGGGTAAGTAGATAAAAATGACCAGAATTCGAGTTATGCTCTAAATAAGACAATGGCGCTATAGATCGCGAGGGTTGAAAGCAGGTAGTTGATTTCGCCAAAACGGCAATATATTTAGGGAAAAAGTGTATATATGTGGTTTATAACATGTACACCATTAGCTGAAAAACCAAGCTTACCATCATATTTTGATTTCTCTTTCTTTAGAACAATTATTTTGATATTAAACCGAAGATGTTTATAGGCTTGGTATTAATATATAAATATTAGAAACTCTTTTAAGAGGTAAACTACTGTAGAAATCTTACGCAACATTCTTGGACTTTTATATTATATATCACCTGGCCGACAGTCTTCTTGATATCAATCTGAGATAGACTGCGTGACCGAAAGCAAACGTTGAAGGTGATTTTTACCGACCTCTTGTACAAAACTTATATATTAAAATATTATTTACTCTCCTGAATATAAATGCCTGGGTGGTTGTGAGTAGAGTGTTCTGTGATCGGACCGTTGTACTTACACTGTTCTATGGGGCCTGTGAAAAATAATACTGCATTGAAGGAACAGCATTTTATTTCCAATTTTATTACTTATTCTTTTTGTTGTAAAAGATTTGATAATGACATTAATACATACAAAGTATAGTTTTATGGAATATAAACGAAGACGGTCAAGGCACAACCTTGTAATAACGATCGCGGCAAAACAACTTCTTTAAATCAAATTTCATCTTTGCTGTATTGATATTCAATTGATTGATTATTCCCATATGTTACAATTAAAATTTTAGACATTCTCCAATAAGCAATAGGCCTACAATTGATTTTATAGTTCAATCCACGACGGTCTGAGACCATGACACAGGGGCGGATCCAGGATTAGTGTTGAGGGGGGGGGGGAGGGGGGGGGGCGCTGAACGGTGCCATTTTGGTACGATTAAGAACTATGATTCAGCTAGTCAAAATTCTAATTTCATGTATCATGTGGCTAATTTTTACAAACAGTTTGAAGACAACTTCCCTCTTTTGTTCCGTTTTATATTGTAACCTAATATACAGTAAAAAATAGGTGTTGACTCATCAGAAGTTGGAAGCAGCTAACAGTTCTTAAAAACAAAGGTAATGTATGTATCAATGGATAATAAACTCTGTATGACAATCTAACAAAGAGGAATTTCCGACGTCAAAACAAACGTGGGTGCATGTATGCCGTCTCACGCATTCACATAGTTGCGCCGACGGACAACAAACAACGTAAACAACAACAATGTATCGGTAATGTAGAGTCTATGTATGTATCGATACAAACGTTACCAAATTGCGTGTAGATTGTTGTTGTTGTTTACGTTGTTAGTTGTCCGTCGGCGCAAATAGGTGAGTGCGTGCGGCGTCATGCATGCGGGCACGTTTGTTTCTACGTTGCACATTCCCCTTTGTTACATTGTCATACCGATTTTGATATCCATCGATACATACGCTACCTATGTTTTTAATAACTGTTAGCTGTCTCAAACTTCTGTTGAGCCAACACCTATATTTTACTGCACATTAGGTTTCAATAAAATAGAAATGGGACAAAAGAGGGAATTGTCTTCAAACGATTTGTAAAAAATATTCACATGATACATACGTTACCAGGGGCTGATCCAGGATTATTTGAATGGGGGGGGGAGGGCAGGGCCGTAGCCTCCGGGGGGCAGGGGGGGCAGC